TGCATGCTCACAAGTAGTAGTAGTAGTAGTAGTAGTAGGTGGTGGTAGTAGTGGTAGTAGTAGTAGTAGTAGTGGTGGTAGTAGTAGTAGTAGTAGCGGTAGTAGTGGCGGTAGTAGTAGTAGTAGTAGTAGTAGTAGGAGGAGGAGGAGGAGGAGTGGGAGTGGGAGTAGGAGTAGGAGTAGGAGTAGGAGTAGGAGTAGGAGTAGGAGTAGTCGTCGTCGTCGTAGTAGTAGTAGTAGTAGCAGCACAGGTGTAATCCAGCAGTTTGTCTAGAATTGCTCAGGGGAGCTGGCATTGCTTAGTTCCCTAAGTCACGTAACGGCTTCCACGGCAACAGCAAGTGCTGTTGGCATCGTCCAAGCTGCAGCATGCGACTTCTCACCCTGCTTGCCCTTTCTCCCCTCTGCAGGTTTGTCCGGCTGAATGCCAAGAAGCTGGCATCTTCGTGGTCTCCCAAGAGATCATGACAGATGCAGGAGTGTGGCTGTGTGGCTGTTGAGTTTGCTCGAAGTGCTCGGCTTTGGTGAGTGGCGCTGATTGCTTTCCTTGCCTCTTGCGGATCGTCTCTGCCACCTTGTTAACATGAATGCATGCTGCTTGCACCAGTTCCGGTATATGATGTCAGAAGGCTTAAAGATTTACCTGCACGTCTGATTATTGTCCCGGATCAAAGTGTGTCAAATGGCTGGCTGTAGAAGTGCTCCCTATGATGTGCCAGGAGAGGCAGCCTTTCTGTGGGTGTGCGACAGATCGCAGCAGCTAGCAGCTGAAAAGAGATGCACGACACTTTCAACGTCGATTCGGTTGAGCGAGCCCGCGCTGGCGACATGGGTTGGGTTTCAGGTCCCTCTACGAAAGCCGTGAAAAGTATTTGTGTGCTGTGTCACCCATTCATCCTGCTAGGCGGCACGTCCCGAAGATGTATGCCAGGCTCCTGCACGGATCCAAAATGCTTGAGAGCTGGAGTCGTTGGAGGCTGTGAAGCATGGTCTGAGGAATTTCCAACTGCCTGGGCTCGGGTCGATTGATGTCATGCAGTACAGCCATGCAGCTGTGACTAGCAAACCTCCTATAACATCAGCCCAGGGCAGTAGAAGAGGAGCCCGACAGCCGCTTTTGCGGGTTTCATGCTTCCTGCGCTGGCAGAGCTTCGCATCTGTATGTCTGTATATCCTACTGGTAAGAGTTCAAAATTCAGCCAGGGTGCCCTGGGGAACTGCTGGTTTGCAGGGGCCCTCAGCGCCATGCACTCAGATATACTCAGAGTCAGAGATGCTCGGAAGCAGCGCGGTACGCTTTGCCAGCCCGAATGTGTGTAGCCACCACGGTAACCTTGTTGCACACAATAGCCCTGAGCATTCCGATTCCGTTCTTCTGAGGTCGTGGCACAGATGTCGGGTGCTCATGTTGAACTTGCCGTAAGCTACCGTAATAATCACCGTAAGTAATCAAATTAGAGAGCAAAACCAAGCATGCCGTCGTAGCAAGTAGCAGGGCAGTGATGGATCTTCAGGCCCACGGCACTCAAGACTTTTTCGCAAGCAGAGAACAGGCCAGACCTGATCAGCAAGATTTGCATCACGAAGGCGCAGAGTAGCATTACGGGGAGGATTGCATCACGAGGATGGCAACGAGGCTTTTGTTGCAGTTCGTGTGTGCATGTGTGTGTGTGTGTGTGTAGACAACATTGAGTCTATGGGGAGGCCCAGTGTGCTGGCTTGTCAGGATCTTGATGGCCCTTCCATCTGTTGCTTGGGCTTCAGTCACACCTGGTGCGAGTGTCATCTCACGAAAGTATCCCGGAATCCCCATGACCAGCTCACAAGCCGAGCCAGGCATGCCTAGATTGCATGCCGCATGCCTGTCTGCATCGATGCTTGCCATGACATCTGCATGCTACATGCTCAGCAGATCGCAACGACAAGAACTGGCAACATGAATAGCCAATTAGCCACAACTACCTGTCCGTCCGTCCGTCTGTCTGCCTACCTATCTACCAATCTAGCTAGCTAGCTACCTACCTACCCCGACCCGAACAACACTGGTGTGTTCAGACCCCTTTGGTTCATCAGCCGAGGGCAACTTCGGGCACCTAAGCAACCAGCATCAACCAGTCATCCTTGTGCTGCGCCGGCCGCTGACCGACTCCAACTCTCCAAGCGTGAATCGCCGCAGAACCCGGGAGGACGGATGCACTAAGCAACTTCGAAGTCGTTGGTTTCAATGGTAACTCGGTTTCGCATTGCTTTCGCAGGTAAGCCCTTTCCGATGGCAGAACTCGCCGGACTTGAAACCGGTGAGCGTGTCCGAGTGCTCGGTGGCCGGAACTTCGAGAAGCTTGCGCCTGAGCACAAGGACTCAACAGCCAGAGCAGAGAAGCCGCGAGCAGAGTCCAGGTTTCACGGAGGCATGGAGGGCACCGTCGCAGGCAGCTCAGGCTTCGCCATGCTTTGCCAGTGCTAGAGCTGAGTTCGGCTCACTCCGTTTGCTTTCTGGCCGTGCCGACCAGTCGAAATTCACCAAGGTTGAAAACAATGCAGAGGGCAGGAACTCGGCTTGGATAGAGTGCATGTGCTGTTGATCTTACATTTCCTTGCAAGGATGTCTTTGGCATTTTGCCAGGAACATGCGGGTGCAGTTTGATGACGCCGCGACAGCTGGCGCCGAGCCTGTCACTGTGGCATACAGGCCTGCGCAAGTTGACATCTGTCGGTGCTTTGCAGCGATAGCCACCACATGCACAATGCACAGTTGTCCGAGGCATCTGGAAGCTGCTCCAATGCCGGGTGGCTACAGATGCAGCGCGAAGGGCTCCGCTGCCAAGCCAGACAGCAGTCCGGCGACCGGGGCATCCGGGCCGGTGCTCAAGGAGACTCCAGTTCTGTGCCGGTGTTGCTTGTCCGTGAGCGCGTGAGGGGAGCGCGCGTGAGTGGTACTGTTGCGTGATTGAATGAGTGCGTGACTAGTGACTAGTGAGGAAGGGGGGAGGGAGCCAGGGAGGGAGCGAGCGAAGTCACCTGAGGAAGAAAAGAGCGAGGCTGAAGGACGGATGACTGAGGAAGTAGAAGGTACGACTGTAAGGAGGGAAGCTGGGAAGCCTACCACATGCTGTCCCGTCTATCTTCGCAACATTGGTCGCTGAATGAGTAAAATCAAAGAGTACCCAAGTACTTTCATATCAGGCATGTTGTTGTCCAGGGGGTACCAGTTGCGTAACAAACTCTCAGGACCTTAGACTGTTAGACACTGAAGGTTTTGCATTTCAGGGTTTAGGGTTTGAGGGTTGGCAACGGCTCAGGGACAGGTATGGCTCAAATCCATCTCGGTCACGAGACCCGACTGTGCAACTCCGATGTACAATGGCTAGTTTGCAGCTGCACGTTACTACGGCAGGCAAGAAACGATTGAGTCACATTGGAGTAATGTGTTCTGAGTTCCGGAAACGGCACCACGCCGGACTCCGGGCCGGTTCTGATGCACGCAACATTGCACGACCGCACGACCTCGGAAAAACTCGCGCAGATACCCTAAACTTACCTACACGCAGGCTCGTTTTCCGGCCATTTAAAACAGGCTTTTCATGCATGAACTCCTTCCTCACCAGTGCATACGCGTAGTCACTACTGTGCTCTTGAGTTAAAGAAACCTCATTTTGGGCTTGTGTTGGCACAGCAGTAGCCTACTTCAAGAGCCCCTTGGTGCCCTGGTCTTATGACATCCGGTGTGGTCGTCATGCGGCATTAGAAGCTGACCCAAACAACACACAACCGCATGTCGCATGTGAGCAGAAAGAGGAGGCAGTTGGAGACAGCCATCAGTCGCCAGCAAGAACGCTACAGCGCACCAAAAAAGCAATGCCCCCCTGCAGCATTAAGACACTGCAGGCTATAACACGTTGTTTTGCACCTTCTCACCTCGGTCAATGCTCGAGCACTCGCTGCGTCATGATGCATTCTCAATCATTTAGGACCGAAGGTGCAGGGTTCCTTCGCTTTTCGGGACAGATGAAGTTGGGCCAGGAGCATGGACCTTGGAAGGTCAAGCAGCTTGTGCAGAGCCCAGCGACGCAGCATCGGGAAGCAGGATGTTGCCCCGAGTTTACTTGACAGTCGGCCCGTGTACAGTGGAATGACTTGTTCGAGACATGGGCCTAGGTTCAGCTGCAAGGCTTACAAAGCGCACCCGAGCTGAACGGCAGGCCTGAGCGAGTTCTTTGCCAAAACTTGCAATCATTCCGATGCACTTCTTGGACCAACGAGTTCAACTTTGCGGGTTTGACTGCAACCCGAAACTCAAACAAAGTCACCGGGTCGCGGGGTGTAGCGAGTAACGATGTCATGCTTACATGTGCCTGGACATCTACAGCATGTCGCAGTCGTACAGGTCACTGCAATCGAGTCGACTACTCTCGCCTCGTACAAAGCGCAATGAAGCGGAATCCATACGGAGAAAATCTTGAGACCACAATCGTCAGCTTTTTCAGGCTGGGGCGGCTGCAGAAGTTCGATGTGCATGCAGAGCGCTGGGAGGCGTTCCGTTTCGTGTTTGACCTTGCGAGCCAACAAAGGCTAGAGCCTCCACCACAAGCTCCAGAGCTGTTGTAGTTGTAGCCATGTGCCACGTACTGTAGTGTTCGGACGCAGGCCCGGATGCAACTTGGAGAGTTTGCCATTCCAGATTCGTGTTTGAAGCCTTTCAGGTGGAGGTGCGTGGCGATGGTGGCGGCACGAAGCGGCTAAAGGAGGTGCCTCTGTAAGGATGTGCTTTGCCGTGTCTGTCATCGAAAGAGCTTTGCCTTACTTAAACTGTCGTGTGACATCATCTTTCGACGCTGACATTGGACTGTGCGTGTGGTCGGAGGCCAATCTAACGGCGTTTGTTCCGCCCGTTGTAGCCGCTGGACTCACCGTGGCCGAGCTCAAGGAGTCGCTCGGCAGACAGACTTGGTGACGTTCTCATAGCACTGTCGGCGGGGCCCCTCCCACTCCCGGTACTCAAGACGGGGAAAATCTACCCAAGAAGCTGCCCATCATACGTTCCGTTGCTATTCAATGACACCGGGGCTTGGAGGGCTGGGGTGGGGGAGCACATACAGTATATACGTCACACAGAACATGAGGTGGCATCCGAAGTTCAAAAGCATGCAGTTCATTGAAGCAACGAAGCGGCGTGGACTCTGCCGAGTCACTTCGCAACCTGCTGCTCGTACAGGCACACCTCCACGGAAACGCAGGCGAAAAGTCATATGTGACGTGGGAAGAAGCAGCTCGCTGGAAGGTGAGGGTGTGTTCGGAAAATATCGAGTTCCATCTGGCACAGGAAAGTGACATGAAGTGACCCTTCTGCGCGGCATGCCAGGATGGTACTGCTGGGCACAAGCCCGAAGCACAAACCTTGACGTAATCCACAGCAGTGCTGGGCACGTTAGAGTCGTCATGGCATTGTGGGTATCTGTCTTTGCTGCCAGAGCATAGCTTCGCCTTTCCAGGCGTGGTAACGAGTGTTTCAAAGCCTCTCAGCTGGAGGAGGCCGCAGGTTGCATGTGCATTACAGTCACATTTCATCAAGCGAGCGCGTCGTAAGCGACTCTCACGCTGCGAATAGAAAAAAACACATTTACATGGCTTCAGTCGACGATGCTGTGAGGCAATTGCCTTCTACTCGGCAGCATTGGAAACGGCAGAGAAGGCATCAACATTTGCACGCGAGTCACAGATTGCAGGGGCATAGAGATTAAAGTCGGCTTCTTTTTCATGTCATCGCCCTTTGTGTCTGCAACATCCTGCAAGACATAGTAATCACGCAGTGCTGTAGAGATTCCACGCATTCTTTCAGACAGATCAGGACGACTCAGGCTGGCGGCTCAGTCTGTGTGTGCAGCGTTTACATTTGCGACGGCGCGTGGTCACATCATCCACTCATCAGTGCGCCATGGTACATCTTTGCTTGTCGTGGTTTCTAAGAACCTAAACGGCTTAGGCGAGATCCCCGATGACCCAAAGTATATGGCCGCTGCTCGCCGCACAACAGTTCATTCAAGATGACAGTTTGATTCATGCAGCGCCGAGGGCCCGAAAGCACCTGTGTTGGATTTTAGAAGCGGAAACTCTCTGGAGACAGAGTCAAAGGTGTCTAGAAAGCTGCCTCACACGCAGGATTTCCTAGGATGGGGGACTTTACTGTCAGAGTGGGATGTCCAGGTGCTGTACAACAACCGGGCGCAGTGCTTCATAATGCTGTGTCGGGAGATCCATGGCGAGGACTTAACGTGATCGTAAGTACGAAGGACTTGCATGTTCCCTAGTGGAGTGGAGGACGCTGCGATTGGCCAAGAGGCCCGGCGCTACGCCATGAGAGCCAATATGGATGCGGCCAAGGCAATTGAGCTCGCCAGGCACCTAACGGCGCTTCCGCCAGGCCTACGGTCGGGGACACTCTGGCCAGTCTCCCTGCCAAGGACCCAAAAAATGGCAAGGCATACTATCGCAGAGGCACTGTCCGCAGTGTTGTCTTTATCTTTGTCACCTGGTGGGTAGCTTGGGGTTTTACCCACGAGGCTGTGCGGTGCTTGGCATGGCCCCGAGCGCCAGTCGGGCCAAGGAGGCCTGAGTGCCAAGGGGGCCAAGGAGCGGTTTTCAGGCTTTCAGGGATCGAAACTTGCCATCGCTGCTAGGCCATGGCTGCCCTGGAGACGGCATTGTCAGGCAGTGCAATCTGTTCGGAAGGAAGCTCTCGTTCTAAGAGCATCTGAGAGCCCGGCCTGATTTTTGCCAGCCAGGTAGAGCATCGGGCGGTAAGGATGGCATAATTTTGCCCAACGCCATGAGGCACGAGGTGCAGCTTGGCGGAAGCGCAGCATCATGCCCTCGCATGCGTTCTCTGGGAGCTCGAAGGGCGGACCAGGCTTCAGTTCTTTGGCGTTGGAGCCGTCACTACGCAGACAGAGCGTGACATCTCAGATCAAAATTCTGAAAGCAACCTGAAGAAAACCTGAATAAAACTCGACTCATGTAAGGAAGCGCATTGTGTCTTCGGTTTACGTGCTTTGTATGATCATTTTCTGCGTAGTCCGTGCCTCTGGTCGTATGCATGTAGGTGTGTAGGTAACGCCAGTATCTATGCATGCATGCATGCATGCATGCATGGGCATGTATATATATATATAAATGTGCGTATGTATGCATGTGTGTAAGTAGCCTGATCTGGTCGAGCCCGATTGCTGAACATATCTGAACATGTACGTATGTAAGTAAGTAAGTATGTAGGTATGTATGTATGTATGCATGCATCTAATTGTATTGTATTGTAATGTAATGTAGTGTAATGTAATGTAATGTAATGTAATGTATGTACATACGTATGATCACGAAAGCCAGCTAGCTCTTCAGCTGCGTGCGAGAGTTGTCGGAAAGACAGAAGCTTCCGGCTAACAAGGCATTAACGGGCTTCGGGTTCCCCCTGGACCCCTTTTCCGCCCGATCTTTCGGGCCGGAGTGCGCCCCCGGACCCTCTCTCCAATCCAATTCCTTTCACAGGTTTTTGGCTGTCGGTAATGCCGGTTTTAGCTGTAGTGGCCGGACGAATCGGATCAAGGTCTAACCTGCTGGATTATGCGAAGCGGCGGCTGGACTCCTGTACAGAGGCGCAGCATGTCACAGGTTTGCACGGATTTGCAGTGCAAGTCTGTGCAGGTGTAAGTCGTGCAGTTGTTGAGGCATGCAGTCGCAAGACAAATCACCACTGGAGAGCAGGTAGAAGTGCGGCAAGAGTTTTGATGTGGTTGAGGGAATCGCATGAGACAGCATGCACGGCCTACGGCATGTTGCTAGGCAGCGGTTCCTGATGTGGAGAGTTGCCGCGAAAACTGTCGACAGCAGTGACGCGCAGGCAGCATAGGCAGCCCATTTCAGTGTGCCGCCAACACCATGACATGTCCATGTCGATAGCAGTGGTTGGCAGAACATGCTTGCGTACGGTGAAGCTGTACTCGCTGCTTGCTGGCAGAGCGGTCATACTGAGTCACAACGCATCCTCTTTTGCGCGCAGGCCTCGGCAGGCAAAGGAAGCTGGCGAGTGCAAAAAAATTGCATGGCGCGCCTCCGGGCATCCGATACAGTGTTTTTACCTGGAGCCCCTACCCGCTTCTTCAGATATCTCGCGAACAATTGAGCTTCACCGGTCTTGTTTCGACCTCGGACAGGATGTGAACCCGCATGGTGTCTACCAGCTTCGCCTTTGCCATGCTGGTGAGTCGTGGCACTCAGCTCGTGGTTAAACTGCTTCGCTTTTAGGAGTGCGGTTGCCATGCATGCTTATTCTCACACCTCGAGAGCCAAATCATGCTTGATGTCCCCAGGTGGATTGATTTGGTGGTGGACGACTACTTCCCAACTTCTCAGGCCGAGTCCTACCAGGAATGGGTCAAAGAGCACGATCCTCCCTTGTGCGAAGCAAGGAATCATCTGTGCCGCTGCTCATGCTTTTGCGAGCAGGTGTCTGAGGGCTTCACTGATGGCCAGACCATCCGCTTCTCTCGTGGGGGAAACCTTTGCTACCTTGGGGTGCGATCCCACACTGCGTTTTGCCAGGTGGTCACACACGTTGTCTTCTCGTAAATAGTTTTGTCAGCAACAGGCTGGGCCATTGTTGTGACGTTACTTGTTCGTCAGCCGAAGTAAAGATCACGCAGAAGTGGACGCAGGCGATGACGGATGTGCCCTGTTTATCCAGCACTTCACATGAGCGATGTCGTTCCTCCTGGCTCGATAGCTGCACTTACTGTAACTCGACGCGTCGTCATGTCTTGTCTCGCATGGTGGCTGAAGACACCTTTCGAAGTTAGTGACGCCATGCAATCACCTGAATCCAGCTCACGACATAGCGCAAGATATCTCCCATCCCGATGCGTGCTTGTGCACCTGCTTTATGGACTGGTAGTACTAGCAGACTTAGACTCTCAAACCAGCGGGGCACTGTCGTGCGGATGCTTGCCCAATCGCAAGAGTCAGATGCCTGCGGCTGACGCTCCTGCCTTGTACTGTGATGCTCTGGGAGTTCCGAGAGGCTCTTGCAAAGACGATGCTGGGTCGCAGCTTCATCAGTGCTTTCCCTGGACACTGCGAGTCGGTGTCAACTTCTGGCTTAGGCTTCCTGTGCGAGCTACAAGCCCGCGGCCTCGGCAGCCAGGCTGTGCTTCGTTGCTGTACTTAGCTTGCAGAGCTTGGCCCATTTCAGAATGGGCAACGTGTGCATGACACGCCACATGGAAGCCCCCAAAACAGTCAGACCAGTAAAGCAGCTGTATAACGCTCTCAAAATGGACATCTCACAATGCTTGATTCGTGTTCAGCTGTATTTCTCTCTTTCTCTGTTGGTGTCTTTTGTTTCACTGCCTCTATCTGCCGGCCTGTGCGATTCCCATCATGTCATCAGTAACTACTTATCCGCCGGTCAATGCGTGTAGAAGTGATGCACGTTTGTGCGTTTGCACGCGCAGGCCATAGGTCTGCATATTCACATGTGCGGGTATCTGCCCGTGTCTGCGAGCGGGGCGTAATTCCATGCACCTGGGCATCTGCATCTGCATGCATGTTGTGATGCATCCCATGTCAAAGTTCGGAAGTTTGAGTGCGCTCCCTTAATTCGGTCAGGCTTGTCCAGCTTGGGCAGGACCACCTGCGACGCAGCGCGGCTGGCTCGGGCGAGGAGGCCTTCACATTGTTTTCACATTGTAGAAGTTGACATCCGATGTTCGCCCTTTGCTGGCATCTTGAGAGCTGTGTGACAGAACTGGCACTGCCATGCCCCTTGTCACCAAGAACTGCGCAAACTGTGGGCGTCCGGCATGTCAACACCGCAGCTTGAAAGGATGGCACCTTGGCGCATCTTTGTGGATTTTCAGGAATTTGCCGGCAGCATCGCAGCTCAAGGCATGTTCAGCGTGGAAGCGAGGCACGAGCACGCTGTGACCTGGCTGCGGCGCTTGAGGGCAGGACGGGACAGCGGCAGCGCACCCGCAGGTCGGAGCGCGGAGCTTTGCACTTTTTCTGTCACCCGACCGTCCTTCGGCTCTCGCTGGGCCGCGGTCGCCGCGCGCGCGCTCGGGAGGACTCCGCTCTTTGCCAACGCGTGTGCAGCACTGGGAGCCGGCCGCTGCAGCTTTGTGGGTGCCAGCAAACTAATGGAAGCCAGTCTGGCCCGTAGCTCTCGTGTGACGGCATGCTTATCTGCGCCACAGGTGGCATCTGGAGGGACATTCGACCTTGGCATCTTGACTTGCCTTAGGTGCCGAGGCTGTGTCTTCGGCTACATGTTGCATTAGGCGATCATCCAGAACTGGCGGAGCATGAGCCACCTGGCAGCTTGGCTGTGATTTCGCTCTCCCAGCCGCGTACTTCTGCATCCAGCAAGTGTAGGCCATCTCGTGACCAACGAGCTGATATCTGTGATCTCTGTAACGAGCCAGAGCAGGCCCGTCAATGCCCGTCACAGAGAGGCACGGTATCCTTTCAACGCAAGTCCTCAGTTCAGGCATGCATTCCATCCACTTCTCTACGAGAACTTCCGCCGACAAAGCTATGAGCCACGAGAGCTTGTCGTTGTCGACACAGGATCGGACTCTTGGCTGGTCACTGCGGGGAGGATCGGAGAGTCAAGCCTTTGAAGCGGTTCTTGGATGGTGGGGGTGCGTGCCTCTCGCCGGCAGTTTGCCCGGATCGTAGCAGGTGGATGGTGCAGTCGGCGAGGGTGCGATATGATTTCTCTGCTGCGCATGACATGTGCATGCAGACATTCCCGACGCGAACCGCGGGTTTCATGGCGCAATTGAGCGAGCCATTGCATTGCACGGTAAACTTTTCATAATCCAGTTCAGCCTCTCAGAACACTCCTCAGACGTTTGGCATTTGTATTTCAATCCGTCTCACAGGGAGCGGCAATTCTCAAAAAAACTCACGAGTGTAGTCTTTCTCTGAAGCATGCGAAGAGCCAGCAGCCAGCAAAGCCATAAGGCACGTGTACATCCGGCTCAACAGATGTATATCCGGCTCAGCATGCCAACGACCCTCCAGACAATGTAGATCAAGAGTCTCCAAAATGTAGATCAAGATTCGGCAAACCTGAGCCACAAAGTGAGTAAGCTCCGCTTGGAACTAGTTGCCATCCACGAGCCTTGTTAATTTCCACACTACGTGCGCTCGGTCCGCAACTCCTCCTCACCAAGCTCCGGCTAAGTTCCATCGGCGCGCAGGAAAGCACATCCACAAACTCGGCAAGTGCCATATCAAGGTGGATTCCCGCTCGCAACCAGAATGCGTCTTTCAACCGAAAACCGCCCAGTCGCGCGACGCAAGCCCATCTAAAAGGTTTTTGCAAAGTTCACACCGTATAGACCGTGACTTGGCAAACCAATGTAGTGTGTCAGCACCTGCTGGCTTCACAACTGCGTCTTCTGTTTGAACTAGCCGGTAGCTAACCAGATTACAACCGATGTTCAGCTAAAGCTCTGGTACTCGCAATTGTTACGCGTGGGAAGCATGCCGAAATACCTGGAACGTTGAGTTTAGTCGTGTGACAACGGAGCGTCTCCTGGAGGCTTCGACGGGTCACCTTTTGCGTCATTTTTTCGTGGGGCACGTAGTGGCGTGATGCGGCCGTGGATCGCAATGTGTGTGGAGATTCCCGCGCGGCAAGATCGCCACAAGGAACAGAGATGTGTTGCAACTTTGCTCTCGACTGTCATGGACGGTCGCCGGTATGGTGTGTAGTACGGGTGGACGTAGCTGAACTCCAGGTTTGCCAGGATCGAGTCCCATCATCTCGGTCGTACAGTACATTGTCGCAAGAATAACATTTTTTTGCTGTGTTTGCATTGCCCAGGAGCCTTCTCTCTTCATGTTAGAGCGGAAAGCGGATGATCCCAGGGTGCTCTACTACTTCTTCCAGGAAATGAGACAAGGTCGATCCCGATCCAAAGCATACTCTGCCACGCCTGCAGGACGAAAAGTGTGCCCGACCAGGCTCTCCTCGGCTGCAGGAGGACTGGCCAGTGCAGCATCGTGTCGTGTTAGATGCAGTCATCATATCCCGGCTCCCACGCTTTCGTTGCACCGCAGAGGAGGCTGGAGCCGATGCCATGGCGGCAGCATCCCAGCCGCACATCCGAGTAGCATCTGCAACACAAGCAGGAGAAGGAAGCATGCGGAACCATGCGCCACGAGTACATGTGTGGTGAAACATGGAGACTTAGAGTCTTCTGCAATGCCCGGCGTGACGGACATGTGACAGATCTGAAGTAGCCGACGCAGCTGGCACACGCGAATCTTGCCTGTTCCAGGTTCTGTGTTCTGACGATCCGAGGGAACTGACGGAGCGCCTGGTATGAAGCGATAGTTTGACTGCAAGTCGGACCTTTCAACTGCAGGGTGATCCTCGTGCGATGTAGGCTGTTGACCTTCAGCTACAGGTGGGGACGTGGCCGACCTCATCGCACCGAGGAAATTTTCACCTGCATGCGGTTTTCGTGCCGTAGCAAATGATGGAACCGGAGACTCCCAGACAGGTGCGGCGAGAGGGTTGGACCAAAGGCTTCAAGAGGAACATCGCTTGCATGCGGCTTGGCCCAGACTTTTGCTGCGCGGGGATATGTTACGGGGCAATGCCGAATCAACGCTCCAAACGGCCGAACTCATCTGCTGCCCTTGTGAAAAAAGGTCTTGGCCCAGATTGCCGTAGATCATATCATGTGCACTAGAGCTGAAGGTCGATGTGAACGTTATACACACAGCATTGCCACACTGCGATTGCCTGTGACAGAAGCCAAGTCAATCCCACACGACTGCATTGGGACAAGACTGAAGCAGACTACCGGTAGCCGGCAGTCTTGCCGGTGCGGCCAGATCAGATGCAGAAAGAGCGAGAGAGAGAGAGAGAGAGAGAGAGAGAGACTTCAATGTCTTCTTTGTGTGATAATTGCTTCTTGTTTTTGACATAGCTCCCACCTGAAGAGTTTCACGCCGACGTTGCCCTGCGGTTGCGCGCGACCCGTTTGAACGGACCGTCTGCCCTGATGCGCGCGGGGGGACCTCTCTACGGAGGGGCACCCTGAGGGCCCGAAGAAGGCAAGCAAGCAAGCAAGGCAGCAAGCAAGAGAGAAGCCAGATAAGATGCGAAATTCCAGAGGACTCCCGCATGATCACAAACACAAGGCTAGCCGCGAGTTAGCCAGATGCCCAGGATGTCACGTGGTTTTGCTCTGGCCGTCTTTGAAGATGGATGCTTGCGCCTTTCCTGTTCATTAGTAGTACCGCATGCCTGATACTGTCTTGCTTTTTTTGGTTTGGATTTTGCACGGCGAGCAGGCCCATTATACCGTCTGTGTTTCAATGGTCGGATTCCCAATTTGTGCAGGTACACTGAAGATTATTTGGAAGTCATGCACCGAGAACTCCTCTTGGCTTGTGCAGCAGATGGACAGCTGCTCAGTTCCGATGATCTGGTGTCTGGTGACCACCAGCTAGCATGTCCAAGGACGACGTGCCTGTGTTGCGCACGCGTCGCATCGCACGGAGCCTGGAAAGATCCATGTTGCGTTGCTGAATCGCTCAGGAACCGGTGCAGCCGCCCTGCAAACTTGGCACACCGTATCTCTGATGAACCAGCTGCACGGCCGCGATGGGAATGCTTAAAAGGCTTAAAGGCTCCGGTCGTTTTGCAGCTTCCTGACACGGGAAGGAGACTTCCCTCGGATGCCTTGAGGACCTTCCGCTGGGTTGATCTTACTTCGCGAGATCCCGAACTGGATGCCAAGCCGAAGGGAGAAGATCTGGAGCACCTGTGCTGAAGCGGCTAACCCGCAGAGATGTAAAATGCGCACGGGTTGTGAGAGTCTGCAGGTTTGGCTTCAGCCATGTCTTCAGCAGGCCGATGGTGGTCTGAGCTTTGCATGTCCCTCCTGGAATTGCAGTCGCTTCAGGGTGGCCTGGCTGCGCCAGCCAATCCCTGACACCGAGGGCCCGCATGACGCTAGGCCTCGTGAATTATGGTTCGGAGGTCAGACTTTGACAGCTGAGGGCCGCAAAAAAGCCGCGGCTCGACCCATCAGTAGCAACATATGGCAACACACCCAATGGTCTAGAAATGCATGTAGCAGGAACTCCTCAACCATAGACACGGTATTTCCCCTTCTAGATCTTCTGATCGCCAGTTGTGGGCTGACTTTGCTGAGTTGTGGGTGAGAGACTGTGGGCTTTGCGCCGAACAAACAGTCAGCTCGTGTAAAGATGCATGCAAAACCAGTTTCCCAGAGACGCCACAAGTGCCACGGGAATGGGCGAAACGAGCAGACAGATCGAGAGCAAAGGGCACCAAATCCGAAGCTACCGCCCGGGACATCAGCCCGAACAAGAAGCAACAGATGGGGCACCCAGCAGTGGAGAACACCAAGTTCAAAGGTGTGGTCGTGGTCGTGAAGATGGCCGCAAAACTTGACGAGTACAGGGAGTCTCAGCGAGCACCAGCTGCACGAGAACAACGGCGCTAGGCAACCCAGTTTTCAACCTTGCAGGTAGACGGGGAATCTGCAGCCTTGAACCGACCAAGAAAGGCGACCGATGCCATAGCTTCCGTACTTCTGCATCGGGGCACACTTTCAGTTCCTCTTACCTTCAAAGAGTTGTGCCCGCAGCAGACATAAGGACTGCGAGGCCGGTAATTGAGGCATGTTTTTCCTATTCCCTTTTGGGAGCACCGGGAGCGCGGGTCAGGGGACTGCCCCTGACTCTTACCTGGAGCAAAGCAAAGAAGAACTTTCAACAACAGCACCAATAATTGGACGCGGCAGCCTCAGTCGCGCGCGAGACGACGGGAGCTTGTTGTGTCCAGTGAGAGGGGTCACTCCATGCCGCCCTACGTAAGATGATGAGCATCCCAGGATGTCCAGTTCATGGAGGAGTTGGAGAGATCCTCAGCTCCATTTGGTGTGTTTGTCTTGCTGCAGGTAGGCTTCCTCACTGCAAGCATCAAAGCTGTGAGCCCCTATGGCTTCTGTCAGTTGGAATGTTCGATATTCAAAATGTGAGATTGTTTGAGGCCTGAGTCGAAGTCGTTTCCAGATTCTAAATGAAACGAGCTTGTGCACACTTCTCGCGCGGTCTCAGCAGCGCCTTGAACCAAAAGGCCGCCCGGTCGCTCCAGTTGACTTCGCTGGTCAAGAGACCAATCGAAGTCGTTGCCAACCCTCGCGTAGCCTCAAGAAAGCACCCAGCACCAATTGTAGTGTCCAGCCTGCAGCAAGCTGCCAGCGACGTCACGTGGCCGGCAACACCACGCGTAGACTTAGACATGCAGGCGAATCTGTGACATGATTATTGACGCGTCATACACCAGTCAAAGCTGTCCTGGACGGCCGAGAACTTGGTGTGCCAATCCGTCTCGTAGCTCACGGGAACAGGCTTCATGGCATCTCTGCTGCTGGGCAATATTTGCGGAACTTGCTGGGGTTCCTGTATTGCAGGAGATAGATGTCGCCATGAAGTCCTGAGGGGGAGCACATATTACAACTGGTTGGTCGAGCTGTATGCGCTAAGGCCATTGGCTGGTTTCGCAGCAGTGCTATCGGCGCCAAGGTCCAGGAGGCTTGTTGATGACCTGCGTCGATGCGGGATTTCGGTGGACAGGATGCCCCGACCAACATCAACAAGTATTCTGAGCCGCTCATTCCGAATGTGCCTGCTGATGTCAGCAAACATTCCCAACAAAGAGAGACCGGCTGAGATACCTAGGCTCGTGATCCTGGCGTGCCGTGGTCATAATGTGCCGGAGCCACCAGCGGCGTTTGTTCCATTGTTGCCGGCAGTGGAGGCTGCATGCAAGGCCTGTGTGGTTCCGAAGCTTGGCGCTGTCCAACCCGTGTAGGCGTTTGTTACAGCGATTTACAGTGTTGGTCAACCCCCGATCTTTCATAAATTAGTTGCATGCATGGATGCATAATGCAGAAGCGCACGCACGCGCGCACGCACGCACGCACGCACCCACACCTACACCTACACCACCCACAGCCACAGCCAGCCACATCCACATCCACATCCACAGCCACAGCCACAGCCACAGCCACACCCACACCCACAGAGAGAGAGAGAGACTCTGTTGACCCCTATACCCTGCAGAAAGAAAGAAAGACACAGAGACAGTGGTGAAGGTCTTACAAGGGGTGTCTGTTCGGGGGGGTTACCAAGGCACAGTCAGGGGAACACGATGTACACTCAACCCCGAAAGGGGCCCTGCCGACAGACCTTCGCGCGCCTAGGGGGTAGGCCTTCGGGCCAGGGTTCCCCCAGGGGACCCACACCCCAAGCAAGCAAGCAAGCAAGCAAGCAAGCAAGCAAGCAAGACACAGAGACACAGACACACAGACACACAGACACAGAGACACAGACACACACAGAGACACACAGACACACAGACACACAGACACACAGACACACAGACACACAGACACACAGACACACAGACACACAGACACACACACACACACTCGTGCAATCCTCCCTCTGTCT